TTCCTTCCTTCCTTCCTTCCTTCCTTCCTTCCTTCCTTCCTTCCTTCCTTCCTTCCTTCCCTCTCTCTCTCTCTCTCTCAGACACACACACCCGTCAGCCTTCATTCCCTCTCACTCCAGCCACTTTACTCACAAGGGGAAACGAATCCAGATTGGAGAAGTTTTGCAAGTTAAGGAACACGCATTTGCAGCTCATTCAAACTTCTCTGTGGCTGGATTTCCTCCCCCTCCTCCTCCATTCCCTCTCACTCCAGACACTTTAATCACAAGGGGAAGCGATGCTTCTAGTGTCCATGGAGAATCCAGCCTTGGAGCAGTTTTGCAGGATAACGGACCGCTGCTCCGCCCACAGTCATGTGTTTTCAAGCGGCTGCTTGAAAATGCATGGCTAGGGCAGAGGAGCAGTCCTCTTTTAAACTGGGGCAAGCAAGCATTGGGAGAGCGGGACAAGTGAGTGAGTGGAAACCGGGCGACCGGGTTGGGGGCATGGCCAGCCAGATGTTGCTACCGGTTCGGCGACCCATGCCAAATTCTTGCTACAGGTTTGCCCGAATAGGTGTGAACTGCCTGAATACCACCTCTGCGGTAGGCCATGCCCACCCAGCAACCGGGCAGGCAACCAGTTGCTGGGATTTTTGAATCCCACGCCAGGTTCATCCTTCTGTTCAATTGATTAATATTAGACACGAGTTAGCATTTGCTTGGCAAAAACTCCATCCCAGCTTCTGCCCTGACTAGTTTCTTTGAAAGTATCCGCTCTCAAATAATTAGGAAACGTTCTCGATAAACAAACCAGTATTCTACAAAGGCCCTCGTTCCTGGACATGAAGTTGGCTCAACCACTTGAGGGGAGCTGCACAAGGACATTTAAGAGTGTAAAGCAGGATATGACAGCCAGTTTGGTCTAGTGACTTAGGCACCAGGCTTGAAAGCAGGAGAAGGTGAGTTCAAGCCCTTCTTTAGCCATGAAAACCAGCTGGCTGACTTTCGGCCAGTCACTTTCTCTCAACCCATCCCACCCTCACAGGGTTGTTGTCATAGGGAAAATAGGAGGCAGTTGTGTTGGACATATTTGCCACCTTGATTTATTTGTAAAAATAATAAAGGCAGGATACCAATAAGTAAATAAAAATAAGATAATGATAGATGGATGGATGGATGGATGGATAGATAGATAGATAGATAGATAGATAGATAGATAGATAGATAGATAGA